GTGCCAATATATATGGGCAAACGCAGAGGCATGTGTTGCTAATGCAATATTGGAGTCACGGAGGAGGACGTCTGGCAGAAAGCATTGTCACTTCTGGTGCACTGCAGGCTGTCCATCTAAAGCTATCATTACCTGGCACCTATGCTCTACTGAAATAATCAGACCAATCTGCAAATGGGCAAAAAGCCATCTTAACAGATGGCTTTGACTGTAGGTAACCAGGAAACCATGCATATACATTAAACAGGGGTTCAGAGAGCATGGGTCTTATCTAGGAACATCAAAACAGCCATTAGTTTGCAGCTCCTCTGTATACTGTTGAGAACATATGCCATACCCATCAGACACCCACATAGGGTGGGCTAGAGCCAGCTCCCACGCTTCTGATGAACTTTGTAGGAATTGCTTGGTTGCACATGGTCTCAAGCTACAGATAAATCTCATGTTTTGCAGTGAACTTTGAATTTGTATTAGAGAGACAAAGAATGAAGTTTGAGGATGCGGTTGCATCCACCTAATTTGCATGCCCAACTGAGGCACTGTCTCACCCAAATTTTAGGTGGTGGAGAGGGCTATCCAACCTACCTGGCACAGTTGTCTAAGTTTCCTCAGTAGAGAGTCATAGAGAGAGGCTTTGGATATGTGCAGAGAAAAGACCAATATGTTTACATTTTGAATACATTGGAGTCTTAGAACAGGGTCTTAGAATATAAAGAAATATCAGGAATTGCCCAATATCTTTATCAACTCAGGATTTAGTTCACCAAGCTTGTACTGAGCAGCCAGTGCTATTCTTATTGCTTGTAACAGTCTGCATATTAAAGTGCTCAGCTAGAAAGTGGGAATTCCTGGGTTCTTGGCCTCTCTAGTATAATAAACTGCAGATCCTGACCCCATGAGTCCAGATGAGTGGTTGTCACCATGCTTTGAAGCTGAATCATAGCACAGCTCACTCTCATGAGGCCGCAGAGAACACACAGAAGCAGCTACTCCAGGAACATCTCACCACCAGTTATTTTCACAGGCTTAATGCTTCCCCATATACACAAGGGAGCATGCAGACCACGTCTCTTTTAGTGTCCAAAGTTAGTATGCATCTAAACTCAACCAACCAACCAAACAAAAAAGGGCCGTATTCACATCACCTAGCTCCATCTAAAATTCACTGGGTCTTCTGTGTCCTATTGGCTGGCTATGGGTTTTCTGAAGCATGTACTCAATGGAAATTTTAGGCTAATTGTAATTAAAGCTGCCTCAAAATAGCCCCAAGGCAGCAACATCAGGATTTAGGGGAGATACTGTAGCTTCAGTGAATCTGTGCAAATACCCAGAGCTCTTTTATTGATGCTGGGAGCTGGACAGGATGCAGAAGTGCTGCAGGAGTCCAAATACATCTACTGTTCCCTTTCTGATAACTGAGCACAGGAAGAGAGGATCACAGGATGGAGTGTACATATGTCTGTGAATGTGATGCTCTCTGATAGCAACACAGAGCTTCAGAGAATATTACATGCCTGAGAGAGAAAGTGTGTTTCATAATTCAGGCCGGGCAGACTGAGATTTCCAGGACCATAGCACCTCTCCATAGACCATGTGTAAATTTGAGTTATTGATGCCTCAGGACCTTGGGAAGCACTGTAAGAGTTATGGAGAAAATAACCAAGAGAAAGGCATTTATTTTTGTGACTACCATTCCACTCAGTTAAAATCAAGGAATTCACGACTTAAATACAAGGTGCTAATATGTAGTTGTTTGTCTGTAGAATTAAGATACCTGTAAATCTGTCCTAGTAGTAGCAACACTACGTGGAGGATAGTGTGCTCTTCATATGATATATGGCCAGCTTAGCTCTGTAAGGAATGTGTGTATGCTATAAAATGCCATCTGTATAAGGGACCAAGTAAGCCCTATTCATACTTCAAAATTGCCAATGTAAAGAATTGTGATTATCATTTTAGGTTTGATTTGCATAACTCTGCATTCTTAAGGTACTTTGCTTTTAACCTAAATTACTCTCCCCTTAACTATGGAGTTAGAATGAAATTCAGCTGTCACAGATAAGAGTAATGGTATTTATTAATGGTGCAAATCATTCATACACATGGAAAGAACTTAAATGTGCAAAGCACATCAGAACAGGAGATAACAGTCCTTAAGGGACTGATTCATCTTTGACTTCTATGAGCCTTTGTTATGCTAATGGTAGATATGTGTTCCCAAGATCCGTTGCATCCATCTATGTCTTACCCTTTGATTTCTTTATTAAGTCTTCTCCCTTGTCACTACGTGTTCTTGTTAATTCCTATCAGGTTTTGCAGCTTGCGTCATACTTTGCTATTTTTTACCAAAATGGTTTATTGAGTTCCCTAGCAGCTTATGTGCTTTCCCTCTCTGCCACACCTCTCTGCCACTGCTGCCAAAAGGGCCCCTGGGTGAGCTGCCACCAGGTGGTCCCCAATACTAACGGCTTTCCTTTGTTCCTAGAGCAGACAAGGCAACTGACCTAATTAATCATTCCCAACCCTCATTAATAAACATGATTTTGGTAATTTGGGATGAACGTGTTCATGTAGTCTAGAATACTGAATGTTTTATCTAAATATTTTTAGGCATTTACATAAGCATTACGATTTATGATGGCCCTCGGTGCTACTGGCTTTGCTAAGGTTGTAAATCCTCAGTATTTCTAAAGTTGAGATGCACGTTTAGGTGAAGAGTCGTGGGCGTGGGTGGTTAGCTCACCCACGGTTGTGGCTCACAAACAGTGACCACCATGATACAAGCAGATGGCACCTTTAGTATCATGAGTAAATGGAAAAGCTGTTTCTAGGTAATAATGTCATTAAGAATATAAATAAGAGCAAAACATGTAGGCTAATGTAGATTATCAGCTGTAAGAATAGCTATAAGACAATTAGAGAGCTATAAGAAAAGCTAAGATGTACTGAACATTTCTCATGAGCTTATTTTAATACGAGGAGTAGGTGGGGTTTTTTTTTCTGAAACATAATATACTACTGCAGTGTGTAGCTACTTCATTATACTTTCTTCAGTACAGCTATGTCTTCCGACATCTTGTACTCACTCTTGGGACTAGATATATATGAAACATCAGCAGCGTGATTTTGCTCATGTGCTAGGCTCTGAACTCGGCTACAATTTTAGCAGGATACTCTGTCTCTAGCTAAACTCATCTAGCATTATGAAAGATTAATTCAGTGTTATGCTTCAATTTAATGAAAGAGTTGAAGTGAGCATTTCTGTTGAAAATTTCAGATTTCAGGTTTAGAAGTTATGATCTTTATTATGCTTTTTAAAGGGCACATAAGATAAATTATCTATATAGAGTTATTTCATATTGAAATCTTTCTCTTTCAGGATACCTGTTCTAGCATCGTAATTACAATCCCCCTTGTACTTTGTTGTCTTTATCATGCCATTTCAAAATAAATTTTACATATTTCTTAAATGGACATGCAGTAAATAACCTGTAGAAAAAACTAATTGCATATCAGAATGGTGCAGATTTGCAGATCTTGCTGTATATTGTAAGTTTAATTTGCATTTTCTGTTTCGTCAGTACTAAGATTTTAAATGGTATGTGTATCTGAGAAAGGAATAGCGGCAAATTAGGGATTCGGTTTTAGTTGTCATTCTGCTGCAAATATCACACAGTGTATTGTATAAATGGGGTTCTTTTTCTGGATTTCATTAGTAGATTTTGCTCCAGCTGCATTCCCTGGGAATTTAGAAGGGAAATCATGACCAGGCCTACACTGTCTTAGAACGCAACAGGATCAGCATCGTATCTTTAATCAGATTTCTTGAGCCTCCTGAGAAAGGAGAAGGAACGAGCAAGGCCCCAGTTCCATCTCACTGTTTGCTTGGTCTCTAAGTTGTCTAAAAAGCAGTGTCACATGTAGTGCCTCCTGCAGTCACACACACCACCCCCACCACCACCACCACCCACCCCCCCGAGAAGCAGCAGGCACACTAGCATTTTCGGACTCTTGCATGACAGTCAATGGCAGTTGCCTGTGGAAGGATGGAAAGACTGAAGGGCTGAAAGTCAATAATCCTTTTTGTTTTGAAACACTAATTAGCTGTCGCACAGTTCTGCTGCCAGTGAGCTGGCTACTGCAGTGGGCTCTTATTACCGTGATCAGCAGGCAAAGAGCTGAATACAAAAGGAAGGAAGCTAAAGAAAAAGAAATGTCTGACTGAGACAAAGGTTGCAAAATAAGTAAAAATTGCCCAATATTATGTATTTTGTATCAGTAAGAAAAGGAAATTCTTCTGATGTTCTGTTTACTGAGCCATCAGAAGCTCGCAGTGCTAGAGTTGATGTCCTGCAGTCTTAGAATGGGCCTATTATATATCATTTAACAAATTTATATAGTAAACATAGCTTTGTTACTTATGAGTCCTAAAGAGAGAGCTCATTTCAGAAGTTGTTTACTGGATATACAGAATAACTGAAGGCTACATTCAATGATGGTAATTGGTATTGGATTAAATCATCCAATCAGATGACTGTAGTGTAGTTTTTGCATGCTAAGGTGCAATGTAAGGTGGAATTCGTGTTTTAAGTGTGTGAAGGTAGCCATGGATGTCTGCTGAAAAAACATACAATATTTATAAAATGCATTTTTTGAACCTAATGTGAAGTTATTTGAGATTGGTACCTTTTGTATGTGAAAGTCCGTTTGCATCTTGTATACGGATATGTTCTTGGTATCTGCTTTCTCTTTGTGCCTTCTGTTCCTTGTGAGTTTTATTTTGTCTGTACATATTCTTTGTGGCCACCTTAACTACCCGTATAAATTTGTCTGTCCACGTATCCTAGGTAGTTGTCCACCCCCACTGTATGGTTTTTCAGCATGCGGGTGGTAATGCAGAGCAATTCGCTCAAATACCATCCATATAATTTCTCTTTTGGGTGGTTTGGCAGCTCAACCAAAATACAAAGTTTCAGCAAGTTTCACCTTTTGCATTTCAGGATTATAATGATGAAATTCGCCAGGAGCAACTGAGAGAGCTGTCATATTTGAATGGTTCTGAGGATTCAGCACGTGGACGGGGCATTAGAGGAAGAGGGATCCGTGTGCCACCTGCAGCTCCTTCAAGGTGCGGTAACCTGAGCTATTATGCTAATAGCTTTAGAAAGTGTGAACAGTACTAAAACAAACATAGTTTAAAAAAACAAACAAACAAAAAGAAAATCACACACACATGATAGTACTTACATATACACGATGGACTTTGGTCAGTAAACCGAAATGTTTTTCTTCTGATAACTTGCGTGGTCGTGCCGTGCCATGTTCTCTGATCTACAGTTCACAGGCTATAGTGGGTGGTATACAAGTATGAAACAACTAATCAGAGCAGATTATGAAGCCAGTGACAGGATATTTCTAGGAAAGAATATTGTTACACCAGCACAGAATCGATATGGTCAGTATCATAAAATCATTGGTCGGTTAAGTAGTCAGAGAACGCTACGTAGTCTGGATGGAATTTTATTTGCCAAATAATTACTCTTTTTTTGTATGTATATTGTGTCTATTATGTATATATTGCATTATATATTGTTTGTTTTATAGGTTATCAATTTTATATGAATTTGATTGGCACCATCTAAAAACATTGTCAGATGAATGTTTCTTGAATTCTTCCAAGTATTTTTTCATATATAGTTAACAGCTCTGCTTGTTCATAAGGCCAATGTATAGTCTTAATA